CTCCATCGTGCGAGGCGACCTGAAGGGTCCTTCAAGGTGGCTAGCCAACACAAGGCGTGGTGGTCGCTCCCAACTTTGAAGGGCCTGCCATAGAGGTAGGGGCGAAATTTCGACGTAGCCCAAATGATGGCGAGGCACTCCTTTTCTTTTGTGGAATAATTTGCCTCTGCTTTGGATAGCGATCGGCTGGCGTAACTAATAACCCTTTCAAGTCCGTCAGCCCTCTGCACAAGAACGGCGCCAAGACCTACGCTGCTTGCGTCAGTATGTATTTCTGTCTCGGCGAATTAGTCGAAATGGGCAAGTAACGGAGGCGTCTGGAGGCGATGTTTAAGCTCCTGGAAAGCGTGTTCCTGTGGCGTTTCCCACTTGAACTCCACGTCGGCCTTGGTAAGGTTAGTGAGAGGATCGGCGATGCGGGCGAAGTTTTTCACGAACCGCCTATAATAGGCGCACAGGCCCAGAAATCGGCACACGGCCTTCTTGTCAGTGGGCGGCGGGAAGTCGGCGATGGCGGCTGTTTTCCGTGGATCCGGACGAACTCCAGACTTGCTGATAACGTGTCCCAGAAACAGGAGCTCCTCATACGCAAATCTGCACTTTTCTGGCTTCAGTGTGAGTCCGTACGTCTTGATGACTTGAAGTACAGCTTCAAGGCGCCGAAGATGCTCGTCGAAACTCGAAGAAAACACGACGACGTCGTCCAAGTACACAAGGCAAGTTTGCCACATCAATCCTGCCAGTACTGTAAACATAACGCGTTGAAAAGTTGAAGGCGCTGAGCAAAGGCCGAAGGGCATCACCTTAAACTCGAAGAGGCCGTCCGGTGTTATAAACGCCGTCTTCTCTCGGTCTCTTTCGTCGACTTCGATTTGCCAATAGCCAGTCTTGAGGTCCATTGACGAAAAGTACTTGGCGTTATGGAGCCGATCAAGTGCGTCGTCTATTCGTAAGAGAGGATACACGTCCTTTCTTGTGATTTTGTTCAGGCGGCGATAATCGACGCAGAAACGTAGGGTCCCATCCTTTTTCTTCACTAACACCACGGGGGATGCCCATGGACTCTTGGACGGCTGGATAATGTCATCCCGCAGCATTTCATCAACTTGTCTCTTCATGGCCTCACGTTCTCGCGTCGAAACCCTGTACGGACTCTGACGGAGTGGTCTGGCATTTTTTCGGTTATGATGCGATGTTTCGTGGATGGGGTCTGCCGAATTTTTCATGACGATGAAAAGCAATCTTCGTATTTCAGAAGCAGGGCCTTGAGCTGTTCTTGCTTATGGTTCGGAAGTCTGGAATTGACGTCGAAAGCTGTGGGAGGGGCTAGGTTCCTCAGGGCAGGTTCCGCAGAATCGGCGAGGGCGAAAGCACTGGTGGCTTCGACAATTTCTTCGATGTATGCGACCGTCGTTCCTTTGTTCACATGTTTGTACTCATTGCTGAAATTCGTGAGGATAACCGTTGCTTTGCCTCCCCACAGCTCTGCTATTCCTCTTGCGACGCAAATATTTCGGGTGACCAACAGAGGCTGACTGCCTTCAACGACGCCTTCCAAGTCAGGTGATTTAGGAGCGCCGACTGAAATAATGACGCTTGAGCGAGGCGGAATGGTGACTTGTTTTTCCAGCACATTCAAGGCATGGTGTCCTGACGGCGTGCGCGGTGGTAGTGCTTCTTCTGTGGATAACGTTATCGACTGTGTTTTTAGGTCGATGACAGCACCATGGAGGCATAAGAAGTCCATGCCAAGGATGACATCTCTCGAGCAACGCTGTAGGACTACGAAGTCTGTAGTATAAATACGGCCGTTAATGGTGACTCTCGCTGTGCAGATTCCTGCAGGCGTTACAAGATGACCTCTGGCTGTGCGGATTTCAGGGCCTTTCCAAGCTGTCCTAACCTTCTTTAACTTCGCGGCGAACGACCCACTGATGACAGAATAGTCGGCTCCAGTATCGACGAGAGCGGTCACACTGTGGCCGTCAATAAGAACGTCGATGTCGCTAGTTCGCCGTCTCGCATTACAGTTAGGGCGTGGCGTCGGGTCACGGCTGCGTCGGCTTGATCCACTGCTTCCATGTTGCGTCGTCAGGCCACCTCCGGTAAGTGAGCTTTCGCCGTCAGGGTTTTGCCTGGTTGGCATTGTGTTCGGAAAGCTCCGTCGCGGCGTCATCGCCGTCGGAGGATCTTCGGTAGTTCGTCGCACAGCAACCGCACCTCCACCGGTTGCTGCCCTTAGTTTCCCGGATACGGGCTAGGAGACCGGCCCCGCGTTGGGCCGGAGTACTGCCGGGTGTGCGGCGATATGCGGCGGCTGGGTGACGGCGAACGGGATGGACTTCGGGGTGTCCATTGAGTTCCTGTCAGGTAGTCGGCGATGTCACGTGGCCGTTCCCCTGGCTGCGGACGTGGTGCATCGACGGCGAAGCCACGCAGTCCCATCTGTCGGTACTGGCAACGGCGGTAAGTGTGCCCGGCCTCGCCGCAGTGGTAGCACAGTGGGCGGTGGTCAGGGGTGCGCCAAACGTCGGTTTTCTTCAGCACTGCGCTGGCCCGCTGGTGAACGGTAGGTCGTCGGTGGGGGTGATGGCGGCGGTGGTGTCCGGCGACGGAAAGCGACGGGGCGGCGTTTTGGCGTGGACGGGGAGGAGCGTTGTGGCGCACTGCAGCGGCGTAGCTCATAGTTTCTGGCTCGGGCAGCGGTGTTTGGGGAATTCGAAGTGATTGCCGAACTTCTTCTCGGACATCGTCGGCGATCGAATCCACTTGAGGGTGCGCCGCAGGCAACAGTTTGCGCAGTTCTTCCCGCACGATCGCTCGGATCGTTTCACGCAGGTTTTCGGAGTGACTGGTTTGAGCAGCAGCGCATTCTGGAGTCAGGCGACGATTATACTGTCTGGTGCGCATGTCAAGGGTTTTTTCGATGGTGGTCGCCTCGGATACAAATTCTTGGATGGTGTTCGGTGGATTCCTCATTAGTCCCGCGAAGAGCTCCTGTTTGACCCCTCGCATGAGGAAACGAACTTTCTTCTCCTCAGGCATGTCTGGGTCAGCGTGACGAAATAGGCGGGTCATCTTCTCTGAAAATTTCAACTTTTTCATTTGGTAGCCGAACCCGGGTGTCTCGTTGAGCAGCGGCCCTTTCTTTGCGAGCGACGCTCGCGAACGTTTGCAGAAATGCGCCGCAGAAGACATCCCACGTTCGGAGCGTGGACTCACGATTCTCTAGCCAGGTCCTTGTGGTGTCTTCCAGGTAGAAGTACACACGACGGAGCTTTTCTTCGTTGTCCCAGTGGTTGAGGGCGGCCACACGGTCGTATGTTTCTAGCCAGGACTCCGGGTCTTCGAACGATGACCCATGGAAAATTGGTGGTTCCCTGGGTTGATGCATGACCATCGCGGGCTGGGATGCGGCGGTTGTCATTGTCGCTGCAGTCGCGGTCATGGCCTTGGTCTTCCGCGCCTTGTCTTCTAGAATCCCGTACTCCGGTGGTAGCCCTTGCTGTCAGCGGCTTGTTCGCTGCTCCTGGTTGGCGTCGGTGTCTTCTCCGCGACGTGGGCTGGGTTCACGGCTTGACGGGGGCGTCCGGTACATGAACGAAGCAGCACCTCCACCAGATGTCACGGGGTCGTGACGTGGCCGAAGACAGGAGACTTCGTGTTGGGATTCAACTGTTTATTTGGGCGAACCTGTGCCCGGTGAACGGAAAGTTCAATTACAGCAGCAGTCTCGCACAGATAGCAGTCTCGGACTTATAGCGGCGAACGGAGCGTCGGCCTTCGATCAACAACTGACAAGCGGCGAAGCGCGTCGGCGTTTATACTCTTGCCGTCGAATGTTCTAGCGTTATCGCTGGCGGCGGCGTAGGTTCCAGAACAATCTGTACCGTTCGCACAGTGGGTGTGATCTTATCGAAATGATCTACTACAGTCCGGAACCTTCTCGACAACTGCAGGCGCGGTTCGCGCTGAGAATGGTGTGGTGTTTTGGGACGATAACAAAAACTTGGGAAATGGAACGTGGCGCTATTCTACTAGTCATTTTCTAAAACCCTTGTACTCGCTTGGCACATTCGTCACATCCTCTTCAAGCCGCATTTATTGCTTTGAACTTTCACTGTACTGCTTTATTATGTGATAGCAAGACTGGGCTGTTAACGTCAACATTCCTTGGCAGCTGACACGTAGATATACTATCGCACGTGTGCGAGAGCATGGACAGTGTGGTCATACTTCCTGTCAAGAGAGGTATTTAAAGGCTCACAGTAAACTTGCTTTCATTATCCAAACTATTGCTCTGTAAGGACCATATTGACGACTTTGTTCAATTATTGTAAGTTTTTTTTACTTTGATTCCCACGGTGAAACTTACTGCAGGCACAATCAAACGAGCAAAATAACTTACGTACCCTTAGTCTGTTTGGTGGTACATTTTGTACCCATTAAAACAAAATTTTCATGTATGTAATCCTGAAGCTGCTTTAACCACTTTGTTTCCAGAGATTTCACGTAGATAACTGCGAAAAATGGGGTTAGTATGCTTCAATATAACAAAGCCATAGGCAAAAAGTTGAGAAAGCTTATGGAATCAAATAACCGCCTATACCATGCGCCATGTATTTGAATTTTCGTAAAATGGAATGCCACCGTCAATACGCGTATCCTTATTTCGGACGCTATGATACTTGCGATAAGAACATCAGGCGTGTTCGATATTGTCAGTTATACAGAAAATTTTCTTTGTAATATTTGGTGAGCCCACCCGAAGAAAACAATCATTGTCCATAAAATAATCATTCCTTAAACCAATATCCTAGTCACAACCTGCTTTATCAACATGCCAGTCATTTTGTATATTGAGGCGTCATTGAAGTGAGATGGGATAATTTGAATTCTTTGTGATGTGCTTGATGTGTCTTAATAGGCCAGCGCTTATCTTTCTTTATGCAGAACGAACGCTACAATACTTTCAAGATGAAGTTTACCCGGTGATCTTGATTGTAGCCTTGGCAGCAGGTACGTGTAATCATCTGATCCCCTTTATAGAAAAAGTACTGCACATGTCTCTTCAAGTTAAGCGCGTGGAAGCTCTGTAGAAATATGAAAAGTGTGGTTTTGTGACCTCAGTAGTAGCCCCTGAATAATCCTAAATAACCATCAGTTCAATTAGGTTTTCGCTGATAACGGCTACATTGAATCATTTCCTGAAGCTTCTATTACATTCTGGAATATCAAATAACTTTCCGGGTGAAGAAATCAAAGACAAGTTTTATTCTTGCTATCACGTTAGCGTTTGTTACAAAGACTGTAAGTTTATCTTAACCATGAGAAATATTCCTGGAGTACTTTACAAAACACTGGCCCTGTTGATTAGTTGGCCACAAGAAGACAATCATTAGGGTTGGCATGAAGGTGTTGTGAGATATGTGTCTTATTATACTTGCCTAATAATAAGATACATGTTATCAAACTATATCCACCAATTACATAGGGCTTTAGATAGTTAGGGGGAGGGGGTAGTTTTCCTCATGGTTGGCACAACTTTTTTTCTTCATCATCTATATCACTTGATTTATGCAATTAGTTGTCGCTGTAATACCTGTCATGTTTCATCTGGGGTACCTGCAGCACTCCTGGCAGCCGACATTGCTGCCGAAGAGATAACAGCAAGTGGAGGAGGTGGTGAGCATAAAATCTTTTTCTGCGCGTCACGAATGCAGTGTTATGATTAGTAAACCCTGGTACTAAGAGTGAGCACTCATTCGTGGAGCTCTTTAAACCACCTTCCCTTCTGACACATTCTTTAGTGCTTATAAATAAAATGTTTTGCTTTTGATGAGTTATAAACCTACCTTTGAATTACCAATAGCTTAGGAGCATATATGTGAGAATTATTGTGAAAAAAAGTGTTTCTACTATTCTCTTCAGCCAAAGTAACACAGCCACACTATAACTAGTTCAAGAACTGTGTACACTGTTTTTAGAGTGACTGAGCATAGTTATGAAATCTAGACATGTCAACCTATTTCTCAGACCACTGCATCATTTATTTACTTCTGAAAAGCGTAGAATTAGTCATAATCCTCGTTCTACCTTCAATTTGTGTCAATATGGTACGTTCGAAGTGTCTACACATATAGGCTCTGAAGTTTCACTTTATTGTACTCTATTTATTGCCCTTAAAACTCTCTGCACATATGTTTTTGTAGGAACTGGCAGCGGATGCCCGGACACCACAGCATGCACCAAAAGCTGCAAGAAACAGGGCTACAGCATTGGAATCTACCTTGAGCCCCTACTTACCATCTGTGCGTGCTTGTAATACTGAGCCGATCAGACCGCTGAGTTGCAATAAATGTTTACCGCGTTGACGATGCACAATGGTTTTGTTATATGTTCGTCCTTTTTCTGTTAAACACTCGAGGTAACATTACGATTTATCTTCCGTTGTCGCCCGATGAGCCTTTCCTATGGTGGCTAGAGTCATTGAAGCGAACTAAATTACTTGCTCTGGGGCATTTCGACCAGTGCGCAGAGTTGCACAAGAGGGTTTCCAGCCGCAATATTTATCTTGATCAATCTCACTTCTTAACTCTACGAGTGGCAGTCCAGTTTGTTTTCACTGACTCCTACCCTGTGCTCATACCGTTTATGACGACTTCCAAGAAAGTACAGGCCTTCCACCTGCGTGGTGTGCGGCGGCTTTCCGGATAATATCCTCGATTTGTGGGATTGTTCGTTTGTATTGCATTCTTGTACATGAGCCTCGGACACATACTTACCAGCGAAAGAGCTCTTACCCTAGAGGGCTTGCCAGCAGGCCTGGACCTATGACTCTTACGTTGATGGTAGTACTCTAACATCTCAATTTTCTTGGCCAGGTGATGGCCAGTCCTTGAGTCATTAAGGGGACAATAAGTGGGGTTTATTTTATTTTAGTGTCACTAAATAGAAATCTTAGATGGCTAATTTAGAAATTTTCTGGCACTGTCATTAGTTTTTTTCAAGTGCATTTGAGGTAACAGCATGGGGTTGAGAGACGGAGCTCAGAAAACACTTGATGTTTGGCATAATGGCATTGAAATGACTGTGTTTTGTACAATAAAATATGGGATACGCCATTTTATGCATCAAACAAACACCTTATGATACGCGCCTTGTGAGATATATTGCGATACTGGTGCACAACACCCAAAGAGTATTCGAGATAGTTACAAAAGTACACGAGCCCGGGATACTGCTCACCATACATTGGGGCCCAGAAATGTCAGCGCTTCGGATCTCCTTGTGAAAATCTCTCTATTTGAATTCTCAAAACAGCTACAAGCGCACATTATGAGCAATGAAATTCACACAAAGGATCCAGTGGCAGCTAAAGAAGCATGAACAGTATTGTGCGGAGCAGACCTATTTCTACTTATTTAGATGATCTGGCTTCGCCCGAAAGAGCCTTCTATCAGAGCACTGCACACGACGTACCACTTCAGGTTGAACATTTTTCATTTTTATCGGGCTGTGCTGACAAGACTGCACAAATTACACGAGTATCCTGCAGTTTAGGATGTTGCTAACGTAACCCGCAAAAGTTACAATGGGTTGAATTCCTTACAATTTTTATAGAAGACGACCCATTCTTTTAATGATCATCAGCGACGACCGATGGTTTCGCACACTGCTATCGATGTACCACCTATAATAATTTTACCCTGATTCCTTTCGTTTTCTTATGAAAATTAAGACAATGTATTGTGGCTACTACCCAGAAAGCAGCCTTTTTTTTTTGTAGCGATTGCAATAGACATTTGGTGGAAAAAAGATAATGCAGGTGGAAGTGCTGCCTTGTAAATACTTTAGAAGTTCCTGCGTAAATACAATATATGTGCAAAGTCATTACGAAGAATACCCTAAGGAACATCAAAGATTCCAGCCACAAGGAACGAGACCTACCTCCAAACTAAGGACTAGCGCCTGACTAAGTAAAGATGTCAAGACAAGGACAGACCAGCAAGGCGATGGTCACTGTGCCTCCTACAAGAGTCGCTTTCGTTCAGCCCTGGAAGCTGTTGACTTTACGCACATCATCTTGTTCACGTACGGAATTCTGGTTGGGAGAATTCGACTGGCAAGCCCTATTAAAATTCTGGGACTACAACGGGAAGCTTCTCTGCGTCTGTTTTTCTCTTTATTTTGCCGTCACGACCTCTTTATGAACACAGAGGCCACTCCGAATAGTTAGGATCTATTTTTGCACAGCACCACTAGCTTAGTTCGTATAGTTTGCAGGAAGCTTTTTGAGAGGTGTGGACAACTCTAGAACTGGAAGTTAGGGACATTCACCAATTAAATGGCCTATGCTGATCCAGCTATACTTGGGGAAAAGACGATTTCACACTAATGAATACACTGAAGCACCAACGTCTTCAGGAACCGATACGACGTCGAATAATACAAATTTTGAACGTGGGCTCGTGTTGAGGCAGCACCAACTGTGTTGAAAGTGCCTGCTTTCCGCAATATATGGAATACGCCTTTATCACTGTCTTTGTATTGTAGAAGAGCACCAATTGTCTCATTACAAATCTCTCTCAGAAAAAGCGATGTATAAAGTAAGCATCCGTTAACTAATTTGGTTTGTTGAATGTGGATGAAACCTATGACAATGAAGACATTTAGCTCAGCACCTTGCAGTTTGGTGGTACTATAAAATACACAATTCTTGCGCAGTGAGGAAGGCGTGCTTACTGTTAGTTTACTTTTCTTCTGCTATATAATACAGAGCTCAACATCAATTCTTGGTGGACATGACACCTGCATAGGGCTGATGCTCACCCCGCTATACTTGAGGAAATGACGATTCCACATTTATGCATACCCTCAAGTACCACAGTGTTCAGGAAGCTGCGCAGCATTCAACGAATAATTTCGAACACTAGCGTGACTGCTTGGCACAATAATCTGTAGTAGGACTGAATTAAAGGCGGAGGAATGGGAACTCATTCTTCGTTGGGTAGAAAACAAGATCAATCCGAACGTTAAGGCTTTTGCAGCGACTGCAGAAGCAACACGGTCCTTGTTGTCATACGATATGAGCTGCGTAGACTGCTTTCCGAATAGCAACTCGTGCAAGCTGACATTGACATTGTCCGCGTGGTAGTTGGCGATACACATGACTTGGCCGAACCACGTCATCATCAGCTCGAGACAACGACATACACTAGTGCATTCTCTCGTATATGTGAATAATAGAAAGTTCCTGCGTTAGCGTGGTGGCTAGCGTTCGCTCTAGTATAAAGTCGAAAACTTGTGTCATGTGCGGAATCTGGTCAGAATAGTCTAATACAATCAAGCTTGCAACTTTAAACTTCCAGAAGGTCCCCATACACTGCGGCGCGTGACGCGTCATACATCGAGCGCAGGTTATGTAGGTTGGCGTACCGACGCAAAACGACGCATAGCAGAACAACATGCGCCCTACTGAGTCCGGACAACTCTTTATCGTCTTGTTCCTCGAGCACCTTAGTAATCATATTGTCACAAATGGGTGACAGCAGCCAAAGGACCGAAGACTGGGAAGTTACTAATAATAAACGGGAACACGTTTATTTGGCAAGTTTGCGCCATTAAGAGAAACTGTACACCTCGGCGTCGGGGGCGGCCAACAAGTGCTGGGCGGCCGTTGGAGGTAGGAGATAAAAAAGGACATCGATGACCATTCGAGATACGCCACCCGATTCGTTTGCCTACGCTGGACAGTGGTAATGCCGGATAAATCGCTCCACGCCCCTTATCACACAAAGATGAGGCTGTGGGCTGACATGGACCAAAAAGACATGCAAATGCTTGTTGGTGATATTAGATGCGGATATGCGCTCTGATATTTTGTCATCTTATGGCTTAATGCTCGCAATATCATGTAGCAAAACAAAAAAGACGGAATGAAGTGAGCAATACAGACGAGAAAAAAAGAAACAAAAAAAACGAAACAAGACCTAAGAAGGTTGCCCAGCTCCGCACTCCTTCAAAATTAGTGCAAGTGTCTTTTTTGTGAGTGAAGTTGGGTCATGCGAAAAGAAAGAAACAAGTTTAGGTGATAACATACCATATTTGTGATATCAGGCTCCGTTGATACGCCTACGGTAAATTGGATACCCAGATTATGCTTATTCTTCTATGATTGATTGATATATGGGATTTAACGTTCCAAAACTACCATATGATTATGAGAGACGCCTTAGTGGAGGGCGCCGGAAATTTCGACCACCTGGTGTTCTTCAACGTGCACCCAAATCTGAGCACACGCGCCTACAACATTTCCGCCTACTTCGGAAACGCAGCCGTTGAAGCCGGGATTTGATCCCGCGACCTGCGGGTCAGCAGCCGAGACCCTTAGCCAGTAGACCACCACGACTGGGGCTGCCTGTTCTCCTATGCTCCAGGGCATTTTTTGTTGCTTTGCTCGTGTAAGAAACACCTCCAGAAGGCTTCTTGGCGACAAAAGGAAGCTCTGTATTTTGAAACTCTTTTTTAAAAGCGGACTTTAATCAAAGAATTTTCCCGCAGCTGTGTGTTTCTGTGTCGGAGTACTAGACGTTCAAAGCCTATTTTCCAATGCTGCTCTATCCTCCTTGTGGTCAATGAATCACTTTAGTTTCTCTTTATATAGAGGGCTTCTTTTACATTCAGAAGGAAGTCATAAGTATAAGTCGGTAGCATATAATTATAACACCCTGAAAATTCTCAAAACATACTGCGCAGGAAAAATGCTGCAGACGCAAAGTTTCAAACGTGGTAAAAAACCATGATAAAAAAACAGTTCATGCCGTGAAATACCATATTACAAGTATGCATGCGTACAGCCATGATGCAAAAACAAGATAAAAAGTTGTGCCAATGTCACGGTGCTGTGGATAACTTTGAGGTAAGCGAATATTTACGTATTAAAATCAGTCGCTGTGGTGGTTTCATGAGAGCTTTCACTGAAAAAGTAATGATAAAACAACTTTTGGTGTGTCTGTGGATGTTGTGTTCTGTCGCAATGTTCTGTTGGATTGTGATTGATGCTCACTGTCTGTGCGAATAAATTTCTCTAAACAAAACTATAGGGTGAAAGGACAACAATGTATCTAAAAACTGGAGCTATTACCAAAGATTAGTAAAAAGCAAGTTTCATTCCACTGCCTCAATGTGGCGTGTACACTATTATATGAGATTCACAAATGATATGGAGTTCTGACCGGTACAGATATTTTTTCTGTTGATTTAGTATCACTACAACCACAAGAACACGAAAATTATGTATGTTTAACTCGCCGTCAGTATACGAAAAACATCACGCCAAGCCACGTATATTGGACACCAAGTTCGATTGGTTG